TTTCGACAAGAACTATGTCCTTGTCTTCGAGCGGCCTCGTGTTTGTGTCGATTTGTTCGATTATCTGGAAAACTACGAGAACAACGCCATTAATGAGCAAGACGGAAAGAGCATTTTCCGTGAAATATTGAACGCGGTGGTTTACCTCGAGGAACAAGAGATCCTGCATAACGACATCAAAACMGAGAATGTCATCATGGACCTCAGTAATGGCGGGATGAAAGCTAAACTCACTGACTTTGGATTGTCATGGCATTTGACAAACCAACCAATTACCACATTTACTGGTATGCCACAATTACCCTGCAGTCACTTCTTTATAATTATCAGTTTATGATGCTATAGAAATGAACAAAGAAATGAACCATGTAGGACATGGATTGGATTTCTTGCCTGTTAACACAAAGTCCCTGATGTTTTGCTTGGCCGCATTGGAACCGTTCATCTATCATAAAACGTACTAATATTATTGATGCCTTTTTTTTCAGGAACAGTTGAATTTAACCCCCCTGAATACCATACTACCAGGCAGTACGATGGTCGCCAGGCCACCGTGTGGTCACTCGGTTGTTTCTTATTCGATATGCTGACTGGAAATCCTCCYTTCAAAAGTGCAAAACAAGCAGCGACTCAACCTCTTAGAATTCCAAATCACTTTTCTCAAGGTAAGTTGAACATCTTTCACAATATGATCGTGGATGGTGTTTTCGAGCTTCGATACGCGCAATATAGTTTTGTAAGTGCCGGTGAATAAATGTGGACGTCATTGATCGTTTGTCTGTCTGTCTGTATTATAGATTTAAAAAATTTCCTACGCATTATGCTAAAGAAACGGCCAAACGAACGTGCAAAAATCAGCGATTTGTTGGATCATCCTTGGCTCAAAACAGCAGGAATATGCAATTTGTTATAAAGTCCTTTACTACTCTCTACTGACGAAATTCAGCACCTTTCTTAGTTGGAAGACTCAAAACTCAAAGGCAAAAATCATAAAACCAACAAAAGAAACGAGAATTATATTGAAGAAGAAACAAATAATGAAGATTCAAGAAATGCCTCTCCAAATTAGTTTATACACAMAAGAAATCTTCTAGAAGCTCAGCACCAGATAAAGTCAAGAATATTCAATTTAACGCTATGAATGCTCCCGCATTGAAGATTCACTCGAGAAACATTCCCGTRATTTAGTTTACCACGGATATATGCAGTCATGTAGGACCATGTAGTGACAGGATAAATCTGTATCAGCTGTATAATGAAAAACGGAACAATGATAAAGATTGGAGGAATGGRAAACAAACTAGGTGTCAGGAAAAKTCATACAGTCTTAGGATATAAGGATCCTTTCACAAGAAAAAAATGAGACGATAGATGAAAAGTGGGAACAAAAAATTAATACACAAGACTGCAAAGCATAGAGAAATTAAACGACGAAATTTATAGCGACATCGAATTTTAGGACCAAAAGGTCCTTTCATCGGACAGTATTAAAGCAAAAATGAAACAGGATAAAAAGATGTGGTGAAAAATGGCAACAAGCAATTTAAATGAAAATGGCAATAACAATTATAACAATGTTAGGGAAAGAAGTCCTTTCAATAGACGGCAGCAAAGGGAAATGAAAAACAAACCAAACCACGACAAAAAGTGGAAATCGAAACCGCAATGAGCGAGGATATTACTAAAAAAATTAGCAGATGAAATTTTAAAATGGCGATAGGAGTCCCGGCCTTTCGATGCCACTGTACGAGCTAAAATAAATATATATAAGGACGAAAAGGGGCAGTCCTTTCAAATGGACGAAAAACTTCAACAGGACGTATACACAATGACAAAAAGGGGCGAAAACAATTGACAAACAAGGCAATATAAATGCTGCGAGTTTAGCAAAGAATGGCATATCAAGACTATAAAGCCATGAAATGTCACTTGGGACAAAGATTCTTTTCATTTGACTGCTGCAAAGTCAAAACAAAACAAACAAAAAAGAACGTGGAGAAAAATGGAAAATAGGAAACAATGAAATACAGATTTGTAGCAGAAAATTTTTATATAAGCACACAAAAAGACATTTAAAACTAGATATGTTATTTGTCTTCATTATTTTTTGCAGAATCTCAGTAAATAAGGACAACTTCATTCGTTCAGTAAATAATTGTTTAACATTCTTCATATGTAATATACATGTGTTTGAATGAAAGTAACAACATCTCTAATACAATCTAAAACTATATTTTAAACAATAGAGTAGATGAATCTAGGGAATTATGCTGTGATAGTTGCTCCGCGGAGACTGGATGTTCCAAAAAACAAATAATTCGCAATTCGAAGGCAACTATAAAGTATTCAAGGACCATCCACTTTCCAAAGTTAACTACCACAGCAAAATGCCCGAGTTTTCAACTGCTGTATTGTTTTTATTATTCAACAACAAAATTTTCTGATGCGGCTGGCACTATGGACTGATAGTGATCCTCCGCGCAGGCCACTTTCTCGACGTTTCGGAAATTAGTGATATTTGAACTTATAATCGTCATTCAGCGTAGAGAAACGATGGACTGGGGACAGTTGTATTTTCACAAAATTAAGGATGGAAAGGTAGCCTTGCCTTTACATCGATCGAGACAACCGTTGAGCGTGTGCAATGTTAGAAACCTGTCCGTAGGTGTAAAAGGTTTCCGTCTTTGCACGCTCAAAGGTCGTCTCGCTTCGATGCAAAGGCACGGCTACCTTTCAAATTTGCGCCGGGAGCCGTGAAGAAGACTATTATGGAATTTACATCGACTACTATGTAATTCAATTATTTTTTTAAAGGCATTTTCAAATCACGCGACAAAACTAACCTGCGACACACCCTAGTTATAGGCTGCTTTTGATTGGCTCATGCTGCTTTTCGTTGGTCAATCTCATGGCTCCAGTCTTTCGAGCCCTAACTGCTACGTGGGCATTGAGCTAAAATTACCGTTAGTAGTCGGACGTAATATGCAGTGAAGACGCGACAATGAGGTATTTCGTTCGAGTCGCGTCATTTTGGCAGCCAATACTTGAGAGACTGGGTCACACATTTCTCATAAGTAAAATAAGTCGGGAGCAGATCCAGCTGAAATTTTGARSGTGTGCTAAATGGTTCTGGAGTGTTAAATTGGCTTTACTTGAGAAGTAATAATGATAATAATAAAAAAACAGTTAACTTTTCTGCTCAGCACCCCTACAGTACCTCTTTGATCCCCCCTGGATCCGCCCTYCTAAGTGCATACTATTTTAGCGTATTTTTTTTGCAATGATCCCTAGAGTACAAACACTAAAACTGTGCAACATAAATACCASTAAATACTGCTAAATTATGCTAATTCTATTGTTTAATTAGCGTTTAATTGCATACATTTAATGTTTGTACTCTACTTAAATTGCAAGATTTTTTTACTGTAACCTGAAACTTATATTACGGCAAAGTTTGTTTAAACAAGAATAGATCTATAACTAGTCTAGATGTACGGACAATGTCACCAAACAGGCAAAAAACTGTCATATCTCAAGGTTTGTATTCAATTTTGAAATCTCTGCCAAATACCCTGCTTTCCGGATCACGASCCGTGATAGCCTGACGATTATTCGATTGGCTGGTAAGTGCTTCTACGATTTTTATCAAAAATCAGTTCGATTTCCTCCAAGCTTTTCCCTTTGGTTTCAGGCAAGAAGAATAWCACATAAAGAAATGCTGCAAACGACACACAACCATAAAACAAGTACGTTCCAGGAGGAGTGAAACTTTTTTGAAGATCAACGAAAGTCTTAGTAACAGTAAACGACATTGTCCAGTTTGACAAAGTTGCAATGCTTCCTGCAATGCCTCGTGCTTTGAGAGGAAACAGTTCGGACATCAACAGCCATGGTATGGGTCCCCAAGCTAGAGCAAAAGCTAAGTTAAACAGCACCAAACTTAAAATAGCAAGCCATGATATCTTGGATGAGGCAACGCTGTGGTGAATACCGCTGTGTATTATTCCTTCTGTTGCTGAGCCGTCCTTGGGAATATAAATCTCAAAATAGACAGCTAACGCAATAAGACTTATTGCCATTCCAAGACCAGCAGTCCATAACAAAATCTTGCGACCCACTCTGTCTATTATCAAGCATGCGCATGCGGTACCAAAGAACTGGACACAGGCGACAATGATAGTGACAGCTTTAGCATTTTCGAACCCAGCTTCTTTAAATATAGAAGCACAGTTAAAAAGAACGGCATTGACACCGCAAAACTGCTGGAASAACATCGCCATTAGGCTAATAAGAAGTGGCTTGAGGACCGCAGGCTTGCAGAACTCTGAAGGGGTAATTTTCTGATTGTCACCTGTATACAGTCATAGAGAAATGTYAGACGAAGAAAAGGTTATTCGCGAATTAAATAAATGAATGGGAAATAACAGCCTACCTAATGTTGATTCAATAGCGTGACATTCATCATCAACATCAATTTCTGGCCCTTTCAACCATTTTAAAGCATTAATTGCATCATTCCTCTTGTGGTGTGTCAAAGACCATACAGGAGATTCTGGCATAAAAAACATGAGCAGGACCAGAAGAGCAGGAAACACAGCACCAAGAAAGGCAAGCCATCTCCATTCCAATACAACTCCAAAGGAGTAGGACAAAATAAGACCTAATGTAACAGCAAGCTGGTTGACACTTCCCAATGCACCACGTAGCTTTGGACTTGATATTTCAGCAATGTAAACCTAAAAATACATAAAAAAATGCTTTATTTATCTAGTGTACATATGTGTATAAATCACACTGAATAAAGCTCATTATGTTGTAAGCCTAAATACTCCATTTTCGAATTCAAAGCAAATAACTGCTGCTTGACAGCAGATTCTCTTACGCAAAGATCTTTCAAACACAAAAGAAAGCAGAGAAAATGTCGCCATTACAATGGACGTGAAAATTTGCATTTTCTCTCCGAGTTGAGACTAACCCTGCATTTCACAGAATCCTAAAATTTAAGCCTCCTGGTAATACAGGGTTAGCCTCAACTCGGTGAAAATTTAAATTGTAAGCGCTATCTTTTGTGTTTGTAAGTTCTTTGCGTAAGAGAATCTGCTGTACAATAAAACAGYGGYTATTTGCTTTTAAATTCCAAAATGGAGTATTAACTTMTTTTCCTTTCATTCTAGAAACCACCATCTTTTCCAAACAAAAACTTGGCTTATTTTGGAAACCACCAYCCTAAAACTTCTATATTTGCATTCAAATTTCTGAATACACCTTTTCAGTTTTTCTTAGGCTTTGGCAGCACGTTAAACATTCTTTTGAATTTGTAGGAATGTGAGCAATGTCAAATTCAAAGGAATAATTAACATGCTWTTGARGCCTAAGAACAACTAAAAAGGTGCAKTATTTTGCAGATATGCCGCATGAGCCAAAATGGCAAAAAATTATCAATTAACAAATTATTAATAGAATATCAATAAAAGTATGTAACTTACAGGGACCATCAAGGATATCATTCCAACTGCAACCCCACATATCACTCTACCAAAGTATAGCATGAAGTGATTTTTGGCATAAGTGATTAGCAACCATCCTATTTCAAATGGTACACCACATGACATGATACCACTTTTTCTACCAATGTACTCTATCAGCCATCCCCCAAGAGCTCCTCCTAATATTGCCCCAATATTAACAATAGCCTAAAGTGATAGATGACATATGATTGAATATTTAGAAACTTTCTTGATAATGGATATTCATAATTAATTTCCGTAACTATTTCACCAAAAAAAATCATATAGAAAAACAAACCAACAATGAGTGATTCAAATAGAAGAGGTTTTGTTGTAATCAATGCCTGCTTAGTAATATTAAAGCACACTGGAGAATGACACAGAGAATTTGCAAGGGAAGGTGGAGGGGTTTTCATTTTTTTTTGTATGGTTTCAAGACTGTGAAGAAGGCGATTGACTGACCAGGGTATTGTTTTGGACTCACACTGAACAAACTGTCGCACTATGCCCTATTGATTTGGCCAATAAAGTCTTGATTCCACTGTTTACAGCCANTTACATAAAAACCAGTTAACTTTTTCTGCTCAGATGGGGGATAATAATAATAATAATATGTGGTATTTATATAGCGCCGATATCCTCTGAGTTCAAAGGCGCTTCACATGTATAGATCATTTCACACGGACCGCTGTTTAATTAAGGCGCAATTGGCAGCCACGCGGCTTACAATCATGAGGGGTTAGTAATTAGTATGTGTTAGTAGTAAGGCCTAGCCACACACACCGGGAATCATTCCCTACTCTTATGCGAACAGTGGTGTGGGTTCTTTAACGTCCCTCTAATACAGGTTAGTGAGCGAAGTGTAGAGAGACGGGACCTCCGATTTTACGTCGTTATCCGAGAGGACGAGAAGATCTTACCATTTGCAGATGGAGAAAGACAAAGGCAGCAACTTCTCCTCAATTATTTTAAGACCCTGAGTGTTGGTCCGGCCGGGGTTTGAACCTGCGACCTCCCGCACTAAAGTCCGATGCTCTACCTACTGAGCTAACCGGTCGGCGGTACGGTAAATACAGCCACCCTTGGGATCAAAAAACAGTTGTTGAGGCCTCTTAACGTCCATATGAAGGTATCATGTTATAGTGTGCTTACTAATACACTAATAACAGATTGTCATCACGATGAGTGAATTGAGATCCAAATTTCTTTGCTGGGTTCAAACATAGCTTGTATCATTAAGGCATGCATATATTGGAGACTTTTACCCCTAATCCAAGGTTTATACTTTTTTGAAAATTTTACAATGTAAATTCCATGATTTTAAATGGGTTTTTAATGGTTTTTAATGGCCAAAATATAGCAGGCTTACTTCATAAAAATAACACTATTAAAATGCATGCAACCTTCAACTGGTGCAATTTGGCAGAATCACCACCAGCTACAAATATAAGGCATTTGTTTTCAATTAATTGATTAAATAGCTGGTTGTAATTTTATGATGACAAAAACGTAACTAAAATACGAAATTCCATGATCCATACCCTGTTGTCATATGCATCCAATGGCATAATATAATATCAATTTGAAAGATTAATGTATYGTGGACTTTGCCAGTGACAATATCCATGAATCAACCTTTGATATGGTATGGAATTAAACCCTGCTGATCTATGCATCACAAGGTTTGCTAGTAAAATCCAAAAATTAAAATGTGCTTCTAACAGAAAYTGAACCGCAGCAGCAGTTATAATAATCATTCTCATACCCGGCAGATAATTCTCTTTCTCCCAAAGAAAAATTGAAGGTGCCTTATGATAAAAGCAACAGCAACAATAATAAAAAAAAAACATAATATTATTTTATTTTATTATTTAATATTATTTTATAATTATATTATTTTATAATTATTATTTTTAGTTTATTGTTTGAATTTTAGGCTTTATAGATTTATTAGTAGTTGATTATATATTATATATATGTATATTTTGTTTTTCTTTTGAATTTGTATTATTAGTGTATATATATATATTTTTAATACTAGTGTAACCATTTATTATACTCTTTTATTGTATATTTTATTAGTCTTCTACCTTGAGAAATAAAGATTAGCGTTCGTTCGATGTTAATTTTAATAATACTAATAGAAGTTATAATAATCATATTAATAATAATAATTTTCATTACCAGTTTAAAAATTACATAGAGATTATTATATGCCTGTATATATTGGAGCCTGGACTTGAGTATTAAGTGGAGTGATCTTATTGGTTGATGTTGGTTTTTTGTGGTGTTTTTTGATTTTTTTGCAAATTATTACAGTGTACTTAGYATAATACCTATAATACATACCAAAAGCACAAATAACAACACCAAAATTCAACTTGGCAATGCAATTTCTAGTGKCATTTCTGGTGACATTACAAGAGGAAGGGTCGTCCACAGGAAGCCCATGTTATAATAATAATAAGTTATAAAATATTCATGTTTGTAAAGTTGTAGATGTCTCTTACCCCAAACCAAGAGCTTTGAWCTTCAGAAAATCGAACAGCTTTGTCAGATTCTGCCTGTAAGTCCAACAAAGCYGGAGAAGAATATCCCATAGCAAAGCCAAAGCTTAGAGGACCAATGGCAGCAACAAATGTTGCCAGAACCATTCGACCAACACGACCGTTTCTGTCGCGAGTGTCGGCCATTCCACTGCTTGCTTGTACTAAAGGCGAGCTTTCCTGAAGATGATCAYTGTCATTAACAGATCTACTAGATGAGCCTGAAATATCGTCATCCATCGTGGCTGAAGAGCTATAGTCTTATACTTCGGACTTGAATGATGACCGCCAACCTGACCTGACTGTCACGAGATCCGTCTATCACAAGATTACCTAAATCACACAGGAAGCCCAAAATGATTCTTATCTAGAACTCTGTCTCCCTCCTTCTCGTGGTCTCCTCACAGTGAGAAAGGCATTGTGGGACCAGGTTCAGAGCAAGTTTTCCAGCCGAAAAACTGATAAAATGTGATAATAAATGAAATCAATATAAATAATAATAAAAAAAATAANATTATGTGAAATGAAAACTTCGCGAAGTAGCGATATAATGTAATAGTTAGCGCTTTAAAAAAGAGAAAGGAATGGAAATTACCCCAAGTAAAACATGTGCAGGGTTTAATAATCCAAATGGATGTATTATCTGCCAGAAAAACGAGCAAAATACACTAGTGGCGCTGTTTGAAAAATAAGAGATTTGCCCGAGCCAGTATAGGAAGAATAACAAGGACATCTTTTCCAAGAACAATCTCTTTAAGAGCCTTTTGCTGTATTTCTCTAAATTCGTCCAAGCTAAACGACTTCAGAGCCTTCAAACAAGCACTTTCAAAGAGAATCTCAAACGACGAATTGTACGCCATTTTGTTACACTGCTGCCTGCTAATTTATTAATGATATGCCCCTGAAAATATCGGGGGCCACTCGCTGATTGGTCAAGACAATAGCGAACCCCATGCGCCCAGCCGTCAGGGGAGAGAGTATCGCGGGCGCACGAAATCCCGACGGCTGGAGACTGAGCCTAGGAGCATAACTGAGCAAAACTTTCTCGTTGCGGGGCTACAAGTCAAATATAAGTCACGTGATACACATACATAATCAATTTACTATGTTAAAATTATTSAAAGTCAATGACAATGTTTCTAAATTAAACAATAAATACAAATTTTCTAACCAAAACAGATAAAGTCACTTGGTACAATATTGTAAATGTTCATTAATTACTGTGATAGAGGTGGACAGGATGAGATTGTCTGAGAAAGTCTGCGTTTTTCATTAAAATCTTAAGCCAGTGAAAGGGGGGGGGGGGGGGCTCCCTAATATCAAAGGGAAAAAAAACGCAAAAAAAAATCGGGAAATCTGTTATTGATTGGTCCCTCTTAGGGGTGAAATTTCAGCACTGCCACGACCATCTTCTCACAATAGAGGTCCCTTTTAGGGGTCATTTTCTAAATTTCCGACGAGGACCCCCGCCCTTTGATATTAGGAAGTCCCCCCGGGGTCTGTTGACTCGGTATCATTTCTGGATTGGACATCTTAACTTCTCCCCCTGATTACTGACGATTATCAACATCAATCAAGTAAGAATCAAGCTGCCAATGTCAACATAACTCAAAGATTGATTGAATCTAATATATTTATAAGTAAACGATTTACGAATAATTTATTTTTTTCGTTAAAATCTTATTATTTTAACTTCGGTTATGGATAAGTTGCCTACGTAAGCAGACATCCCAAGCGGTTCGACTCTCCTGCTTACGGAGGCTATACTAGCGAGCGTCGGCGCAGAAATAAATCCCAGTCTTAGCCATACAAATATTTATTTTGCCATCGTAGCTCAGTGGAGAAAATGTGGTCATTTTGTGCAGACGGCCCAGGTTCAAGTCCCAGAAAGTAATTTTTTTATTTCTTGTTTTATTATAGATTATTTTTTCCAGCAATTCTTTTAAGAATGCTTACTCTGTAACGGTGAATTAAATGAAAGTTGGTTCGATTGAATCCCGACCAACTGTACGGCACCATTGTACTTAGCCTGCTAACAGGCGTTCCTGCTGGGGGACCGAGAAGGAATGGGGAGGAGGACAAGAATTTCTTTCTCTTCTAAAAAAAAAAGATAGACCCTGAAGATGAAAAAGTAAAAATTAATAAGTCAAAATAGCCGTTACTAAGGCAACAACGCAGTTTACAGGAAAGTGAGTGACTTAGTGAGTGACATATCGTTCCCTACAATAACTCTTCGATTGCTAACGCAATCTCCGAGTTAAAAACTACGTATGGGTAACGGTCGCCAATTCTGATTGGCACGTGTGGGTGCAACTCTTATCTCTTGTCCTACTTTGTCTTTTCTTTTCATTTGTTCTCACCTATTTAGGTATTTCTGTATGAAGCAGACTGTAGACTGTAGCAAGGTAGGAGATCTCACATTTCTAGTATACAATTTTTACTGCAATTTTTGTTTGTTTGATCCTCACANTTGTTTGATGTAATTTCTGGTTTGGCTAGCTGAGTGTTTTGTTTTAGCTACTGCTTTCTTTGGTTTTGTAGGTTAGATTTAGGTCCTAGCCCACGTGCAAGCTCTTTTAGTGCGCGTGTTTTTTGGCTGCGCGTGCTGTAGAGCGCGCGCGTTTTGTTGTTTTCCGTTAGTCGTATTTTGTAGCAATGGCGCGTGCAAAACACTCAGTTTGCTGAAGAAGGCCGAAGTGCCGAAACGTTCATTAAAAAGTAGAAAACCAAGTTGCAAGTTGTGCGGCTTTTTCTTCATTTATTCTATTTATAATATATATATATATATATATATATATATATATATATATGGAGGGGAAATTTTTTTAAACTTATTTATAGTGCATTGTGATACTGAATAAAATAAAAGTAGACAATTTTTTGAAGTAAAATTTTCTTTAACTATTTTATAGGTTCAAAGTCATTGCTAGTTGGGCTCACACGCGTAGGTCCTAGGTCAGATTAAATGACATAATCCGTACGTGTACTTTGATCACACACGGTTTTCGACCATTGCACGGGCGTGGAATATACCATATTTTATATAATTAACAATTATTCCATATATTATTTTTGTAATCATTGATAAAAAATATATGATCAAACGTCAATAAATACTTTTTGTCTCCAAACTCAACATGAAAATGAAAGAGCCAATGAGATAAAAAGTCCACGATATATTTAATAATTTGACCTCGAGAGCGAGTGGACTACGAGCTGATAGCCCATGGAAGTCGAAGGCCGAAGCAAAGTAGGATATCTCCCAATTCTAGGAAGGCCGCACGTTTTCTTGTGATATCTAGCTCAAAATCCCTTTCCCAGGATAAAAAATAGTGCACGAACAGTTATATATTTAGAAGAACAGACCCCGTCGACTCCTCAACTCCTCCTCCTGTGTATTGATAAGACGTAGTTTGCTGCTCGAAGTTGTTGAATACGATCAATTTTACTACATGAAAATTAGAAAGCCCTCGGTTACGAAGGGTAAAAATGAGCATCTCCTAAATGTTTTTAAACTATTTAAAGTCCCTCTGTACTTATAAGGTATTTCACGTGTCCTTGTACTTGTAACTGGCTGTGGTTTGACTACTGATGACACTTTTTCTAGTCTGTTGCCTGGGGGGGGGGGGGGGACTCCCTAATATCAAATGGCGGGGGTCCTCGGCGTCCCTATTAGGGTTTGAAATCGGTATTTTGGTCCCGCTTAGGGTGATGATGAGAAATCCCACCAACTGTGTTTTGTGGTCCATTTTAGGGTATACGGCGACCCTAAGCCGTCATAAAATGGCAACGTCGTCATAAACTCAATACGAGCCGACGGTGTTCGATGATTGTGCAAAAAYGCAAATAAAATCGGGAAACCAAAACAAAATGATCTGTTATTGATTGGTCCCTCTTAGGGGTGAAATTTCATCACTGCCACGCCCATCTTCTCACAATAGAGGTCCCTTTTAGGGGTCATTTTCAGAATTTCCGACGAGGACACCCGCCCTTGATATTAGGGAGTCCCCCCCCCCGTGGTCTGTTGACTCGGTGTCATTTCTGGATTGGACATCTTAACTTCTCCCCCTGATTACTGACGATTATCAACATCAATCAAGTTAGAATCAAGCTGCCAATGTCAACATAACTCGAAGATTGATTGAATCTAATATATTTATAAGTAAACGATTTACGAATAATTTATTTTTCTGT